CGTTCATGAATTAACTTACATTTGTCACTCGAGGCAGTCTCGATTTTTGAAATTCAAGAAAGCCCCACGGATTTGTTCAACGCTCTGTATGAAACAGAAATAAACAGAAATAAACAGACCATCCATCTACGAAATAAATCTTCAATGCAAATATTTTGCTAATAATTAATCTCTGAATTTGAGAAACACTCTGAGCCGATTAAGATTATGAAGTATTTATTTTGATTTGACTCGACTTTTTAATTTTGAAACATTTCTTAAGGCATCGCCCGGTTTATTTTTAGTTTTGAACCAATAAACATTTCAGTACAGCATGATTTTTAAATAAATATATCTACTCTGTACAGTTTTTCTTCGACATGAGACTTCCATTTTATATTTATAGCTTTTATATGCGAAGATTCAGATTCGATCAAGACTTCTGGTACGTCGGTTGATATAGTCCAAGAGGATTCTTTTTCAATTAGGAACATTTTTTCTCAAATAGCTCTACCACGTTTGAGACATTTTCAAGATCAAAAGTATAGTCATGAAAACTAAGTAATATGTAATACAAAAAAGAAAGCAAACAAACAAAATATTTTGCAAATAAGGGACACAATTCTTGAAGAAGCATTAGTTATTCATTGATTAATATTCAACCAAAATAATACTGTTGAAATTGAAAAAGTTTTTGCAACCGAATAATAGAATACAGACGCAATGAAGAAGCATTAAGTTATTCATTGACTAATATTCAATCAAAATAATAATGTTAAAAAAGTTTTTGTAACCAATAAAATGAATAATACAATGCAGACGTAAATAGCCCCCCCTCCCCTTTACTATTGAACGAAACAAGACATCAATATAAGAACATATATTATGCTTTCACGACCGGAGTCACGATTTAGGAGAACGAAATCCGGGCTAGTAGGCCGTGGTCTAACGGAACCTGAAAAACCAAACGTTTCGTGTCTGCTACTGCGACAAACATCATCATTGGTATGAGCGTTTTTTGATAGGACGAAAGTTATATCTCGAAATCTCAGTAAGGATGTTGCGTCCTCCAACTTTTTTCTGAAATTCTGAAATAGAATGGGAGCCTTCGTTATTTCTGATTTGATAGATATTTCAAATCTCTATTCAAAACTGTTCAGTGTTTTTAGAAATTCATTAGCCGTACTTCCAACTTCTTGAAATATCCATTCTGCTTAAGATCCTGCTTGATGTAGTCCAGTGCCTTATTTGGGCTCTCTCTTTCATTGCCTAGGCAAAATTCTCTATATACTAGCGTTTTATCTAATCCTTTCTTTGTAAATGGATGGTGGTAAAATTCAAAATTCAGCTCGTGTGTATATTTTTTTAACGAGCTAACGCCCCTTCACCCTCAGAAAGCGAAACTTTAAAACTTTCGTATAAGTCACTTCCTCAATGAGGAAGTGAGAAGACTGAAGAAGATAGACGAATTGCAAAGCCATCACAAGAAAAGTCCACTTCATTATATTAAAAGACTATTGACGATAATCACAAAAAATCTACCTCACATGTTGCTATACAGTTCGTAGCAATATTGCACAAACAAAACACAAAATGTAAAAAGCAAGTATAACAATTGAACCTATCAAAAAATTTATGAATGTGGTAAGTCCTTCATTATTGAAACTAAAATTTCATTGAAAAAAGGTAGGACCTCGTTAGTCTTTAGCTAGCACAAGTTTCGACTTCTGATGGTTGTCGTTCGTAGGGGTGCGACAGCTGGTTAACGGAAAACCGATTTTAAACTATAAGGTCTTCCAAAAGGGACTTCCAACCTTTGACAATTGATAACGGCCATCTTGTTGAAGCAACATTTGTCAAATTAGTTGTCATTAATCCAGTCTCTTTTGCCAAATCACCATAGACAGATATAGCATTCAACAACATGTGCAAATAATAAAATTGTTTTATCAAAACTGGTTTTCTATTCGCAATGTGGTGGATGCATTTGGATCCATTCATTCAGTAAATGATCCTCCAACACCCGTACGTCGACGAAACGTAAGATCTGCTGAAAACATCACCTCTGTCTGTGCGAATGTGCAGGAGAATTCGAGGCAATCGATTTTGCGTCGCTCACAAGAACTCGGCCTTTCGGAGACCACAACTTGGCGAATTTTGCGTCCTGACTTGGTCCTGCACCCATACAAACTTCAACTGAGAGGAACTGAAGGTAAACTACCATAGACAACGACATGTGTTAGCGGAATGGGCTTGGAAGCAGTGGGCAACTGACCCTAATGTTGATCGAAAAATCATCTTCAGCGATGAGGCCCATTTCTGGATGAATGAGTACTTGAACAAACAAAATTATTGAATTCGTGATGATACCAATCCAAATAAGATCTAAGAGCGTCCAATGCCCGAAAAAGTCACTGTTCGGTGGGGATTTAGGACGGAAAGCGGCATCGGTCCATATTTCTTTGAGAACGACGTTGGCCAGGCCATCACTGTCGACGACGAGCACTAAAGGTCGATGACTTCCAACTTCTTTCGACCTAATTTGGATTATCTGGAATCCAACGACATGTGGTTCCAACATGAGTCACTACGTGCCACACAGCATATGCCACACGATCGATTTTAAGGCATGGCCATCTCATGTGGAGGTGATGTAAAGTGGCCACCGAGATCGTGCGATTTGACCCCGTTAAATTTATCTTAGTGGGGTTTTCTTGAGTAGCGGGTGTATGAGAATAAGCCACAAACCACAGCGGTCCTCAAAACCAACATAACGAATTCAGCCTGATTTATGCGCCAGAGTCATAGAAAATTGGACCTTTCGCATCCGCTCCACCAAAACAAACCATGGCAGAAACATAGTGGGGTCAATAGGTCTTTCAAACGAATTAAAAAAATCGATGATACATTTATACTAGAATGTTTTCTTTGCATACATGCCTTTGATTGAAGTAACCGAAACACCAACATTAAAAAAAAGTATATAATTCCACCTTAAGTATAATTCGAATAGTTTGTAAAAAAAAATATATAACTCACCCGTCATCTGGATCACAGTCTCTGAAACCTTTGGCGAAGGGATTGCTAGCTATTTTTAGTTGGGTTATCTGAAATGAAAACAGAAAAAGAGTTCTTTAAAAATCCACATTTCCTATTAAATTTCAGAATCAACCTTCATTTGAAAACTAACGTACCCTATGATTTTGATAGGCCGTAACGGCGGTGAAAGATGTTTCGGAAAAAACGAAGGTTTTGAAGTTTTCGCCAGAGTTTTCTTCTGAAGAGTTTCCAGTTTTGGGAGGCAAATAGACTATATGAAACCTGGGTTGATACCTATGCATTGAGTTCAATATAATCTAAAAAAGATACAGTGAGTCCAGGTAACTCTTTTCATATCTTCAACTCACATGTCCATTATCATCCAATTGATTGTTAGTTAGTTTCAATTTATCGAAGGATACCGTTTGCTTCATCCATTGCGCACCAGTGGCAGGGCTATCAGGGTGGACATGTATTCTAGGGGGCGATACAGGGTCTGCTTTACCGGCCACAACCCAACTGGAACTAAAAATTAAAAAAATGATTTAACTGAACTGTCTTGGATCACACAAAAAAATGAGGTAACTTTATGAATGCTCACCTATGGAAGGCGTATCTGTATCTTTTGTCATCTACTGGCACAAAATCCATCATCAGCATATACTCCGAGTGTAAATCCAGGCCGCAAAGTTTCACTTGGAATGTTGGAAACATTCGTCGTCCTGCTTTTGTAACTATCATTTCAGTTCCTAGAGAATGAAATTCGTCCCAAAGATGTTTCATTTCCAACATTGCTCCGGCATTGCTCAGTGCAGAGGAAATTGAGTGTATACTAAAAAAGATGAATTAATTATCGCTTATAGACCATGTAAAAAGATCATTTTATGAACTTTTCATTTGCAAATGGAAATAATAAATTTACTCAGATCTGTTAATCCCTCCCCCCCTCAACTTTTGAAAGGAACAAGCTATCGAGGTAGGTTAAAATTCAAGTGAAATGATACTACTTTTAGTACTTTTTGGCATAAAAATGATTGTGGTCACGTGGCCTAGTGTCAAGAGTGCACCATCTTTTTTTTTTAATGTAAAGGGGGTCACGTGGCTCCTGGTTTTGAAGACCTTCCGAGTCTCTATCCTACACCGCTGTGTATATGAAAATCGGCCAAACCGTTCCAAGCAGTTGAAATTTGCTTCAAATATGTTACAAATAAATCAAACACCTAAATGACTTTTGATTGCAACAAAATTTTAAGTAACAATTTCAATTATTTTAACAAGTGCTCAAAATGTTCACCGTTCACTTCTTGACAGAAAAAAAGTCGGTTCTGAAATTAATTCCGAACGTTATTAAATGTTTCCGGGGTAATACTGTAACATACATCTGTTATTCGGTCCATAAGTTCCTGGAGTGACTGTGACTGCGTGGCGTACACCTTAAATTTTATGTACCCCCACAGAAAAAGTTCATGGGTGTCATATCAGGTGACCTAGCTGGCCATTCAATGGGATCACGTCGGCCTATCCACCGTTCCGGAAAATTCTCGTTAAGTCATTCTCAGGCAGGTCTGTAGTACTAAGGGGGTACACCATCTTGTTGAAAGGTAACATCCATGGTAAATTCATTTGGGTTTGCCCCAACTACTTCTTGAATACTGTGATGGATCTGATTTTGAAGCATATTGAAATACAGATGCCCAGTTACATTTTCTGGCATAAATATTGGACCTATGATATGGTCACCTAAAATACCAGCCCATATGTTGATATTCTCTGGAGTTTGAATTTGACCCTCTCGAAAAACGTGCGGACTTACGTCTGACCAATAACGCACATTCTGTCTATTTACTGTTCCATTTAGAAAAAACGCACTTTCTTCACTAAAACAAATAGTTAATGTAACCGGGATTATGGGTTATGCGGTCAGACATGACCTCACAAAACTGCAGTCTTCTATCCGGGTCGTCTTCTGTTAATTGATGCAGCATTTTTAATTTATATGGGTCAAATTTGTGTTTTTAAAGATATTTTTGACATTGGTCGTAGATACGCCACAATTCGTGGCAACCGTTTTTGTTTTTTGTTGCGGATTATTAACAACACCTGCCAGAACGTCGATTTGCTGTTCTTATGAACAGATCCAGGTTATTTTTCCCTCGTTACGCAACCAGTCCTTTGAAAATTACTAACCAATTCCCTTAAGTCGGTACGGGATATTGAATTATTTGGGAAGTGCTCATTGAATATTTTTTCTTTTTCATGGTAATTACGCCTAGCTTCAGTGTAAATTAAAATTGTTTCGTTTTTTTCTTCTAAAAGAGACGGGAGTGAGGCATTTGAAAATTATAAAGAAATGCTGATAGGTACCTATTAAAACTGTTAAAATTATCGATATGATTAACGTCAATATTAGACTGACATTAAAATGAAATGCGATTTGGATTCTCCACCAAAATAACTAGGGTATAAAAAAACTGGAACAAAAACCACAATTTTGAAATACCAATAATATGCGCACCTGTTTTACCACAAAAATTGGCTTTTCGACCAGAATCAGTAACGGAGTTAAAATTCTCTTGCAATCAATAGTTAAAATAATTCATTTGTTAAATATTTGGAGAAAATTTCAATCGCTTTGACATACACATACACAGTAACAATGATTTCGAAATAAAAACCTCAAGCCTTTTCAATATTAGGCTAATGATATCTCGTAAAAATATGTCACAACGCTTGTTAGGTTTCAAAAAAGATACATAAAATCAATCGTCATAAGAAAATCTTGTAACGCCATTTTTTCCATCTTCCCGTAACTTTATTAAAAGGTTTAAAGGAAGTGGTGATTTTATTAAAGTATCTTCCAGCAGAAATGAAAAATATCTAGCATTAATTGTGAGAAGTTTCACATACATTTCAAAAATTTTTTTTAAAACAATCTCAGAAACATTAATTATCATTCGAATCGGAACTGTTTTATGTACGCAAAAACTTCATGAAATGAAGTTTCGGTTGATTTAGAATTCACAGAATGATATAAAATAGTAATATCCCGAGTACAGTTCTGTGAATGTCTTGACGGTTCTCAGACAAAATTAAATATTGATATTCCATGGTACAATGGCTTTTAAAACTATTCTATCGATTATTATTTACATTTGACGAAATATATATGAAAGTGTTTGGAAGAAACCAAAGTCAAGGTTACTACATGGCAATGTTATAATAACAGCAACGCTGTTCTGGAAATGCTCACCTGGTGTGGTTTTTGTTGTGAGTGCTGCTTCTGTTATTGTTTTCGGGTGTTCTGGTGTTATCCGTTTCTTCCAATGAGAGGGCGTCTGCCTGATCCAGAGGGGAGTATGCTTTTCTGTCTTTGCCAGCACTCTGAAGACATGCTAAAAATTAAAAAAAAAATTATTAAAAGTAGTACAGAAATATAATTTTATTGCAGTATTCGTTCCGCCTATATCCCCACAGTAAACTAGCCAAGAGTGTCGAAATTGCCAGGCAAAGATCGTAACTTAAAGCAAACTAAGATTATATGATGAAGAAATGTTCAGTTATACGTGTACTAAAAGGATAATATAATTATTACATGAGAACAGAAAAAGGCGGAAATTAGTGAAAGTAAGAATGATTTTCCAGCACCCGATCTCCAATCTTTTGGGCGGGCAAAAACTGAAAAATGGCGCCCCCACCCAATTATATCCATTTTTACCTTTATCATCTTTATAATTTCAGCTATCAGATGTCCACCAATTGATTGATATTTGGACATTGGCCTTCCGAAATTAATGCATCCATTGCTGTCCTTTCTGTGTTAAGCCTATTTATGCACAGATATATAGACATGAACGTGTAGGATATATATTTTATACATAGCACAGGATGGGATTCAATATGAAAATATGTACAATGGAAATAAAAATCAAATATATTATTGCATATTATGAATTGAAATTACAATTTTACTCTTCGATCTTTTGTTCAGCAAATTTATCAATGGCCTTGTCATAATTCAACTCGTGTGCAATTCGATTTTCTATCGCTAAGATTGCAAGACTAGATAATCATTCCTAGCTCATAAAAGATCGCAAATAATTTTTAATTACTTTGCTAGTTTGCTAAAACTTTCCTCACAGCGTTCGGATGTAGAAGGAAGCGAAGAGTAATTTCGCAGGGCAATAAAAATATTAGAAAAATCATCTTGCTTCTCATGCGCATAGTTCTGTTGCCAGAGATAGAAACCGTTAGCTATACCGAAAATCCACTCACACGGGACAGTATCTGAACCACGAATCCAACCACCATCAATCGACTGAAAGAGGAATCATCAAGACTCTATTAAACCATGGAAGGTATCGAAAATGAACTGGTTTTCATCAAAAATGATCTTCAATGGAATGGCTACTCCAAAGCGATGGTGGAACAGACTTTGGCTAAAACACAGCAGGAGCCTCGCAAGGAAGAGAAGCCGTCACAACCAGTGCTTGCACTTTCCTACATCAGAGGATTATCGAAAAGTATAGGAAAAATTGGATCCAAGTACAACATCAGAGCCTGATTCACATCCGGAAACACTATCCGTAGCAGCCTCACGAAAACTAGACCACCAAACGCGGACTACGATTCGACGAATTGCATTTACCAAATACCCTGTGAGTGCGGAAAATCCTATATCGGTGAAACTAAGTGGCCATTGAATGTTTGCATTGCTGAGCACAAGAAACACATACAGCGAGGGAAAACCAGCAAATCAGGAAAAGCAGAGCATGTTTAGACCCATCAACATAACATCGAGTGATCCTAAGCTGAGATCATACACATGGAGGAACATTGGTTTAGCAGGAAGTTCAAAGAAGCCGGAAGGAAGTTCAAAGAAGAAGTTGTCTAATGTATTCAGCCAAGCTAGCATAGGGATACGCAACATATTGAAACCCATAATCAAGCTAAAAATGGCCAACTCCCGCCAAACAGTCAAACCATACTAAACCGGTGAAGCGGAAAAAGGAAAGTGGAGATAAGTGAAAGTACTAGAATGACCCCTAAATAGTCATCTCTCGAAGAAATTAGTCCAGTCATCACCCGAAGATGATTGTGGATACTAACAATCGAAACGTCGTAAAGTAACTTGGCTTGGAATCTCTTGTAACTCTATTGCAAAATAAGCAATTATTGAAGTTTAAAAATATATTGAAGATATCATAAACTTCAAAATTCTGAAGAAATTTTTATATCGTTTATATTTTGAGTGGTCGTATGCAACTGACTAAATGAAAACACCATCCATCTGAAAACTTCCCAGCATGATTAGGAGGTTAACTTTGAAAACTAGACGCAGAACATAAGCATTTACACGAGCGTATGAAAAATGACAACGTTCGCCAATCGATTACATGATAAGATCATTAATCATTCTGGCATCCAAACTAAACAATCGAAATAGAAACAGCAGTTTTGGCAAGGCCCAAAAGATTACATTTCCTTTTGAAAGTGTATCGGATAGGTTTGTCATTATACGGCTTGCGTTTATTTTGGTAACTGCCAAGCCGGTGGATTAATAGCCGCAAAGTATTTAACCGCATTCATCTTACAATCTGGCTGTCTTCCCCTTACAAATGATGCCATTCCAAACACACATTTACCGAAGGATTTTTTGAGGGGTATGCGACTCGTTCAGAAACGAATGGAAACTTTTATCTGCTTCGACTTATACGTTATATTTGATTCAAACATGTCGGAAACGAACATTTTATATTACAGTATTCGAACCGAATTTGAAATATATTAAAATTCATCAGTTTATTCAAAAATAACATTTTCAGTATTCTATCAAGTTATTTGACACTATATTCATACTTGTGATGCACTGTTTAGAACCTTTCGTGTAGTAATGAATATTACTGGACTTCTATCCCAACACCAAACCGTATTTAAAACAAATCATAAACTACAGAGCTTCTCATGAAATCCAAAGGACAAAGTCGAGAATTCGGAAAAGTTTGGAATTTACGAAATTTATTGTAAGAACTGCGAAGCAAAATATTAGCACACCTAAAATATGGAAGGTCAGAAAAATCAGCAGTCGCCCATCATGTTTTGCAACAAACCATATCATAAATTGTAGTTCATTAAGAATAGCTAGACAAGTCAACAACAACAGGCATCTAGATGTCTAATATAATGAATAACAATGGTGGACCAATACCTAATAGTTTATCTACTATATAGCTTGTTGAAATAATATTTTTAGATATTAGATTTACCTGACTCGTAGATAAGGCAGCATTGTGAAATTAATTTTAAGATGTAGGTACCTAGTAGACTAAGTTTAATCTTCCTCTTGAAGATGATCACTTGATGACTGAAACATATAACGGTTTGGTGTTGGGATAGAACTCCAGTAAGTAATATTCAACATATTTATATTTATTAATTTCGGTCATAAGTTCAAAGTTTTCGGATTGTTTGTTCCTTAGTTTATTCCTTTCTCTATATTCGATAAATCACAAAATTTTTGAAGGTAATACCTAAAATTTTCATTTTTAAACAAAAACCTTGTTATGTAGTGATACCATGGGAACAACCAGCTTGATAAAATTACGAGTCTGTAATAAGAGTTGTTTTATCTATTGCTGGTTGCTCAATCGGTATGGCTCAAAAATAACAAAGTTGGGGTTTGAAAATGGATTTTCATCTAAAGACATTTCGAGTAGTATTCGTGAGGTTTATTACCTGAAATATTTTCCGATGATTACATCAATATAAGAACAAAATATTAATTCTCAAATTGAATCAGTTTGATTACCCAAATAACAAGAATATCAACTGGAACCTTTGTTTGGAAGTACAATTATTAAAGAAACGATGTTCGAATATATGGACAAAGTATGTGAATAACTAGACTCGTATTTTTCAACAATAGGATTTCATCTATCATAAAATATATCGTGTCTTGATATGATACCACAGAACTAGCACCTGAATCACCCGACTTACTCGACGCGGGTAGATGCATATGTTGCATATTTTTTCCGATTTCCATATAATTGCTAGATACTATTGAGAATAATGTTTCGATTCGAATCAATGATATCTTATCATACCAATGAATTTCGATTAAGATTTCAAAAACACTTCATTGTGAATTTTTCACCAAACAGTTTTACGAAAATGCAACACGTGTTTCGCCATACAACGGCTTCTTCGGGCATATTTTTACTAGCTGAATCTACGTATTCTATTTGATCATTCAGTAAATCACCCGAATTCTCAAATCTATCAATTTCTAAACATTCTAAAAGATTGAGTTTCAAACTTTTCTCTTCTAAATGTGAGACGTCAAGATAGTTTGCAAATGTGGAATTAGTCTTTCCATTCAAGAAAGCACTTCCATGTTCTTCAATTCTTTGGGAACAAGTTATCCATGTTTGGCCAATATAAAGTTAAGGGAAGAGCCACAAGTCAACTTATATACTCCTGATCTATCCGACACTGAAGTTTTATTTTCTGTTTTTAATAAATCCACTTTAACTCTTATTCGTTCTGTTATGAATAATAGTTTAGGTATATTTATTAAAACCAATAAAAACAAAACTTTAGTGTTGTACACTGGTTTTCCAAGAACTATGAATCAGCAAAGCATCCACGCGGTGGAAACGAGTGAGGGTACTAGAGACGCAGATAAGTCATTTCAGCGAGGGGCAATCTTTTGGAAGATTACTCGCGAGCATTCTATTACTCTATAAATAGTCTAATCAACAAGTTCAAAAACATGGAAAATGGAGGTTAAGGTCCTAAAAATATGAGAGATAGTTCATTCGATTCGAAACCACCTCTAGAAAAATGTTTTTGAAATATTTTGGTGCAGGTAAAAAATTGCAATTGTGCATTTTTTGAGATTTTACTTACTTTTACTAGTTATCCAAAGACATAATGCCATGCAGATAATTATAAAGATCATGAATACTTCATTGCACTTGGAAATAACCATAAGTCTATAGAGAAAACAGTTTTATCTAGTTATCCTAAAAATTTTGAATTAGCAGTTAGCTCCTTTGGGATGGAATTCGATTTTCATTCTTTACTTATTGGCAATCCGTAGATACAAAAATTGGTTAAACAGAAAAACATATTCGAAACCACGCACATATTTTGAACTACGCTTAAATGCCTAAATCACCACGGGTGATTTAAGCATTCTCATCAACGGTGGCCCCTTTGAATTCAACATAACTTAGATCTTAAAGATTATGTGGAAGTTTGATGCGCTCTTTGGAACCTTTGGTGTAGTAATGAATATTACTGGAGTTTTTTTTCCCAAGACCAAACCGTTATTTCAACACTTCGACACGTGTTTCGATCATAATGGAACCTGAAGTACCAAACATTTCGT